TTCTATAATGCTCTAGAGGAGGTTGTGATTCAAATTCTCAAACAATTCATCTAATAAGTAATGACTGTCTTAGAAGAGACAATGTAAAGCCCCTGAAGAGGCAATGATATCCAAAGTAATGAAATGCTTTTAAATATGCATGTGCATGCACACAAGAATTATGGGATCATAAATTGATGATTACCAATGTTAGTTTTGGTTTTACAATAGCTACTAAATTCATCAAAGAGCTATGTTGATATTGAGCTACGTTCTTTTGTTCGTCGACAAAAAGCAAAATTATTAGCCAAAGTGGAGAAAGGCAATTCCATTACAATTTATTAAGAACGTTGAAAAATGGACCTCTAGTACAAATTGCCAAATGATGTAGAACCCAGAAGGTTACATATGGGCATTTGTAATACAGTGAACTACATTGAACATAATATGACACAAAGTTCCTAGTTGAAACCTGAAATTATGATACACTCGTGTAAACATGATTTCCCATTATGAAACTTGTTCATTTAAATGGAGAATTATATATTACACCAAGCTTTATGAAATGCCTGAAGCATATCTCCATAAGTAAATCCCTCAAGTATATATGAAAGCAAGTGGCCTTGTATAAATTCCAAAGGTGAATGTGTTATGAAGTGTAGAAAATCCCTGAAGGATTCAGACTACTTGAAGAAGCCCTAGAAAGGTAAAGCATAAATTATGTACTCAATACCAATAAATGGTATAAATTGCCTTAGTGAGTACTATCTTTATGATGTTGGTGCAGCATACTAAATCTCTTGCAAGAGTTGATAATATTATAATGGAACTCCTAAAGAGTCTAGAAAAATTATAAAGCGTTGAAAGGAACATTGTCTCGAGCTACAGATCAAACAATATGCCAACATAAATCTTATCCAAAATGTTTATGGTATTAAAAAAACCATATGGATTGAAGATTGTGAGTTGAATACTCAAATGATTGACCAATATTTAAACATTAAGAAAGATCATTCATCCTCGTGAGGGAAATGATGAATTGATATTTGGTCTAGGAGTACCATATCTTAGTGAAGTATGTGCCTTACTGTATTGATTAAATCAGATGTTACACTTCCTGTGGAGCATAATACCAACAAATGGGTATTGCAATGAAATAAAATTTATATATTGATATCTCTAGGAAATTATAGACATGTGCTTGTTCTATTCCAAAGAACTCACTAAAGCCATATTCTTATTGGGCAAGCAAAATTTGAATACCTCTCTAGCTTGCATACAAATCGCTCTCGGAAATGATTTGTATTTACATATGGAAATAGATCGACTCTGCAACGATCAAGTAAGCAAGGATTCATTGCTGCATTCTCATATCTCTCATAAATACATATATCCATGAAGCTAGTCATGAATGTATTTAGCTAATACTTGTGGCCCATTAAAATTTGGAGCGCATGTGAACCACCTGCAAAAGCAAACACTTCAACTATCTTGCATGGTATCAGATTACATCAACTTAGTAATCAGCCAGATTGAAGGATTCAATATCAGGGGGAGCATCCACAACATATCAAGATTTTAACGAGGCAACCAAAATTGACATATGGTCATCCAAGGGGGAGTGTTGTAATGTAATATGTGGATGGCCCACATGAATAGTTCATCACTATTCATCCAAAGAAAAATCAGATGAGTTATTATTCATACGAAGAAAGTTTGTAAAGCAAATAGTGTTACTACAGTAATCTTTTGCCTATAAAATGAGAGCATACGAACAAAGGAAAGATGGGCGAAAGAAAAGAAAAGAGAGGAGAGGAAGAAGAGAAAGAAGAGAGATACATAATAAAATACCAATGAGTTAGGCTAGAGAGAAGACAAAAAATAATGAAAGTTATCTTTGTACTCCTATTATTTCACATAATGAAAGAAAATATTACTGCTGCTCCAAGGACGTAGGCACACTTGCCGAACCTCATAAATATTGTATTTTATTTATTTTATGTTCCACTACACACATACAGTTGATTTTACAACAGTTCCTATATCGCCTGGGAGCTACAACTGCAACAACTCAGTGGTTGACCTCTTCTTTTAGCACCTCTCATTGACTACACTTGTTGATTGATTAGGAAGAAAAAATTGAGCTAAATATGGTAAAAAATATAATTTAGCCATAAGAAAAACTCAAACACTATAATTTTTTTTATCATTTTTGTTTCCCAAATATTTATTAACAAACGAGATTAATACGATGGTGTTAGAAAAGTGTCTGATACTTTAAACACTTTGAACGAGGAAATGTAGTTTCCTTCATCCAATGAACGAAACAAACCTAAAATTGTGGGGCTCCTTTTATTTTCCTCTGAAGGAAATTGTGAGATTGACTATGTCAAGGTTTTTACCTAATGTATGTAAGAGCATTTGTGTCCTTGTTATCTTCTCTGCCACGTTATGGAGACTAGAGAGTCTAGTAAGCAGTCTTCCTCCCCACTATCTCCTCACTCTCAAGTTCTTTGCAATTTCACGGTGTGAATACACTCTTTTCGTCATTGGCAAACGCGTGAAACTGAACAGAGTTGATGCACGCTAGCACTATTGCTTTTACGCTCTCATTGCTTGTTATATATGAGTTAGATTGAAAGTGTTTCTGATGTTGGTGCTTTTAAAACCAATTCTTAGTATAAATACAAATAAATTTAAAAAAAAAAAAATGTTTCTCGCAAGAAAATTAGTGTTTCTTTCAAAAGCACTTTAAATCCCTTTAAAACTAAAAAACACTTTTACTAATAAAATGTTTTTATTCATTTTGAATTCACTTTCATCATCTGTTCATTATACATGACGAGTAGCAACAAAGCAACAGACAAAGCGGGTTTTTTGGGGGTTTTTTGGCCGACTAAATTAATTAGCAACAAGACACGGGGGACGACAACCAGGGAACGATGTCGTGTTCTTCACTAATGTACAAGTTAAGGCTTACGTCGATTCCATGCGGTTGCGCTTTGGCCTAATTTGGCTTTGGGAATCAGGATCAGCACCACAGATTGACTTGGCGTGCTCTCATTGCCTACCCGACGAAACAGATGTATACAAAAGTACGTCAAGGGTCATTGTTACACATTTGCAGCAAGATCAATATTATAGGCCAAATTACTTGGTTGGTCCCTGGCCTTTTCTTTTATTTTTTTTTATAGTTAATAAAAAAGGAAATTAAAAAAATATATTATTGACATTCCAAAATTTTTATTTTACACTTCAAACTTTTCATATTTAAAGATAAATACAATTGTAAGAAGTGTATAAATGAGGCTTTGTAGTGCCAATAATAGTTCACAAAATAAAATCACACGTATTAATGCTTTTGTCACCAAATTAACTTACATTAAACAGATTGCACGTCATGTGTTGTTTCGATTCAATAATACAATGACCAAGATTATGTAGAGAACAATTTGCACAAAACAAAGTGTAGATAATTGTTAGCTTATTGTTAGACTTAGCACACTCCCCCACCCCCTTATTGTTAGACTTAGCACACTCCCCCACCCCCTTAGTATGGATAATATCATTTGTTTAGCAAAATTATAAAATTGAGATCTGACAATGATAATGAACTCATTTCATATAATTTATTCTCCTTTGTCACGTTCCGAAAACATGAATACACATACATTTCATAACAAAAAGTAGTATTACGTGTGTTATTATGTGTGTATTTACTAATTATGTCCTCATATTCCTTTTTGGAGTAGGTAAACATAAAAATATGGCAAAAAATAAGCAAAGTGTTAATAATATCCAAATTATCTTTTTCCCATTAGGATTTAAAAAAGAAAATTACAAAAAAAAAAAAAAAGTAATAGGACTGGTGAGTGGTTAAGTTCATTATTTTTCAAAACATATTTTAATAAAAAAGAAATAATATCTAAAATAAGTAAAACTTAAAAAAAACAAAGTAAGAAAATAAAAAGGGAGTTTTAATGAAACACCGGTACTGTTCACTTTTAACGAAAAACCACATTTATACATTTCTCTGGTACTATTCATTACCCCTTTATTTGTCTTTTTTCATTAAAAGTAATTTTTTTTTATCTTTCGTTAGTTTTCCTAAATAAAAAAGCCCATTGCCATAGGCATGTATGCGTATGTGATAAGAGACTAGTATGTATATAATACCGTGTCCATATGTTTACTAGTGTCCCAATATTTCTAAGTAAAACTTCAAAAAAAAAAAAAGCAAGTCAATAAAAAAGTCCATTGCCATAGGCCTGTATGCGCATCTGATAAAAGAGTAGTATGTCTATAATACCGTGTCCGTGTGTTTACTAGTTCCCAATATTTCGGTATGTTTGGATTTGCGTTTGGTTAGTTTATAAACGACTTACTTTGTATTAGATAAATCTTCATAATTCAAAACTGTTAAGTGTATACATGAAAGTTATTTGATGTAAATCTATTGAAACTTAACAATTTCGGATCAAATCCACTTGCATTTAGGAAAGATCGAGAACCAAAAAGGTTAAGTATGAAACGATTAACCTACTAAGCTAAGGTTTCCTCTTGATTTTACAGTTAATTTCAAACAAGCATGTTTACAATTCCTAATTAAACAAGGACCCTTCATACCACTATATATATATATATATATATATATACCTTTCCTACGTACCATAACCAAGGCGTTCAACAATTTCACACCGCTATAAACACACTGCTTTGAGAGCTTCACGACTTGATTGTCAGAGAATTCTTAATCAGCACCGATATAGTAAATTTCGTGCCTCGCGGGTGCAGCAAGCAAACGGCGAGTGTGGTAATTGTGCTACGAAAGGTGGCAGAATTAATTGCTGGAAATTAAATAAAGTTAGGGTGTTCGGTGGTTGGTAGTAGAAAAAGAATATTATTAGCCAGCCAAAAAAGAAAAACAAAAAAAGGAAAGAAAAAAAAAAAGTTGAAAGGGCAGAATCGGAAAAGAGAAAAGTTGCATGAGAAACTCGGAAGTAGAGGGAAGAATATGAGCGTAACCATCTATTACCAAATGTTAAACTGTCCCTTCCTCTCTCTCTCTCAAAAACCATCCAAAATCTCTCTCCCTTTTCTCAGCAACGAAACAGACAGCTAGAGCTCTCTAGCTGTCTATCTAGCTCTCTGGATGATGGGGACAAGCAGTAAAAATCTGGCTGCGATTAGTAATTCCAGCAGCACTCATCAGCGTGCATGGTGGTCGTCGTCCTCGTCGATTGCGGTTCTGTTGTTTGTGGTTCCGCTGGTTGTGGTTTTCGGGTTGATTTCTGTGCTGGGTCCGAACACCGCCAATTGGGTTACTATCTCCCCCTCTGCTTCTCCTAGTTTAAATTTAACTGCCACTAGTCCTAGTAGTAGTGATTCGAATGACGACGTTTTGGGGTTGAGATCGACGGTGGCTGTTCTCGATATGAACAGCATAGAAGAAGCTCACTCCGACGACTCCGTACAAAATCGATCCTCGTCGCCTCCGATCGCCATTGAAGATGAAGCAGAAGCTTTGCCAACTCTTCAACAACCCGTAAGTCCTTCATCCTTTTCATGCATGTTAAAATTTCTTTTCCTATATTTCATGCTTTAATTTTTTTGGATTATTTTTAATTGCTTGCTTGTTCTTGCCATCTTTTTTAGGCTTATCGGGTGGGAAAGTTAAATTAATTAAGCTCTTAACAAATTAAATCACAAAAAAAAATTAAGAACCTAGATTTTATTTATTTATTTTGAAGTAAAAGAATTGTTCCATACTTTCTGTTCTGTAATTTTTGGGTGGCTGATCTGTTGACCCACAAGTCTAAGAAAAGAATCTTTGACATCAAAATTTTATTAAATTTACTTCACGTTTTTTTCAGAGGAAAAATAATATAGTTGCGGTCGGTATTATGTAATAAAAATCTTGCTGTCACAGTTAATGTCCCTTTTCCTCATCACCTCTGTGGTATTTTTCGGAATGAAGTAATTGATATTAAAATAGTGAAAAAACAAAAGAATTAATTAGGTGCTTAATCTCTATGCTGCACTCTCTGTGCTTTTGCATCTACTATTGTTACTTGTTTAGTGTCCACTAATTAAATAGTATCCCAGGTAATATGGACCATATGTGTGGTATATGTTCCAAACTTAGTAATGTGTCACATGCTCTGTCGAAGCAACAATTTGATTCTTCTTCAGATTTTAATTGAAAGAGTGTTGATTATTTATTGATTTGAGTAAGAGTTGCGTGTTAGTCAATCTGACAATTCATTTTTTTTTATTTTTTTATTTTTTTACAGAATGTGACAAACAGAGATGACTCGAGGAATGAAACTTATGCTTCTATCATGGAAAAACGACAAAGAAAGAATACAAATTTAGGGTTGTTGGAGGCCCGCCTTAGAAGAGCTCGAGCTGCCATAAGAGAAGCTAAATTTGGAAATCAAACACATGATGTCGATTACATTCCTAATGGTCCAATGTATTGGAATGCTAATGCCTTTCACTCGTATGTACCTACTTCAATAATGTTTATAATGAATTAGTTTCAACTTGCAAGTTACAATTCTAAAGGTCAATTTGGTATTTCATTGGTTCAAAATTTCATCCATGTTATGGAATAAATTTGCTACCTAAAGATGTAACACAAATTGTACAATGGATCATTGCTATTATTTTGGACATGTTATCTCAGTGGTACTTCCCATATGAAATTTCAGGAGCTATTTGGAAATGGAAGAAAAGTTCAAGGTCTTTGTTTATGCAGAAGGTGAACCCCCATTGTTTCATAATGGCCCTTGCAAGAGTATATACTCCATGGAGGGGAACTTTATACATCAAATTGAGGTGAATAAACAATTTCGGACTCGAGATCCGGAGAAAGCACATGTTTATTTTCTACCCTTCAGCGTGACAATGTTGGTCCGTTTTGTCTATGTGCGCGACTCGCATGACTTCAGTCCAATTAGACAAACAGTGAGAGATTATGTCAATATTGTCTCTGAAAAATATCCCTACTGGAACCGAAGCCTTGGAGCTGACCATTTTATGCTTGCTTGCCATGATTGGGTATGGTTCTCTTACCACCTTATATCCTTTACTATCGCATTGCAATAAAATCCCATATTTCATGAATGTGTTCTAATTTGATTACTTGGATTCTAGGGGCCCGAAACTTCAAATTCCAATCCCCATCTTCGCAAAAACTCCATTCGTGCCTTATGCAATGCCAATACCTCAGAAGGGTTCAACCCGTCAAAGGATGTGTCCTTTCCAGAAATCAATCTTCAAACAGGCGACACTCACGGCTTCCTTGGCGGGCCTTCTCCAAGGCTACGCTCCAACCTCGCTTTCTTTGCTGGAGGAGTTCACGGTCCTATTAGGCCTATTCTGCTAGAGCATTGGGAGAACAAGGATCCAGACATGCGAGTCCATCAGTACCTTCCAAAGGGTGTTTCGTACTACAACATGATGCGACAAAGCAGGTTCTGCCTTTGCCCAAGTGGGTATGAAGTTGCAAGCCCAAGGGTGGTGGAGGCAATTTACACCGGATGCGTCCCGGTGCTCATCTCAGACCATTACGTGCCCCCATTCAGCGATATTTTGAATTGGAAGTCATTCTCCGTCGAGGTTTCGGTAAGTGACATTCCCAATTTGAAGAAAATACTAACGAGCATATCATCAAGGCAGTATGTGAGAATGCAGAGGAGAGTGTTACAAGTAAGGAAACATTTTGAGGTCAATTCTCCGCCGAAGCGATTCGATGTTTTTCACATGATCCTCCATTCTATATGGCTAAGAAGATTGAATGTAAGAGTACATGATGATCAATAAGCCCTTTTGAGTTTGGTGTTTAAAATTGTGATTTTCTTGTTCATAGGTGATCGAATTCTTTTCTTTTTGTTTGTTGAGGGGGGTGGTGTCCAATTGTGTAACAAGTGAAAAAATAAATTACGTTCTCTAGGTTTTTCTAAGAACACAATAATGCAAGCGCACGGAGTAAAATAAATCCATTGTTTTGGGCAAGTACCATTCTTGTAAATAATAATTCTTTGATGACAGGTTGACGTCTACCATGACAGACAAAGAGTAGATTTGATCACTTCATGGCAATTTTAAGTAATTGTATCTATGAATTGTCTTTGCATTTCCTCTTAATATCCTAATCTCTGAATTTGTGACGCACTCTGGACTTTCATTAAGGAGGCTTTGACACAATGTGTTCAGACTTTGAAGATGTTTCGTCATTTTTCTAATGGTAAACATTTGCCAATATTACAACGGTTTACGGTTTAATTGTATTATTCTTCATATGTACGCTTTCCCGATAGTAGTCTCCTAAATATCCTGACGTCACCTGCGAGTCCAAGTGGTTAGAAGTCTCCCATTATTACACCAAGAATGGTCATAAGAGAATAATAGTGTGACACCTTGGAAGAAAGTTGCTCAAGGAGCCCAACCCCAGAAGTTCATACCAATGCCATATTGATTTCCCATCCTGAAGCAGGCCTGATTTTGAATTGTTTCTTTACTCTGAATTGTATCAACAATAGTTGACTCCCATGTTTTTCCTACATCAATAAACAAGCAAATTTTAATTTACATTTTGTCTAAACTTGATTTTATTGGATACTGAATTACTAAGTTATGTTAATCATCGTCCCACAAGAGAGCGATGGGGAAGGAAATAAGTTAAGATAGGAGGGAGAGTCTGAGGTCTAGACTTAGTTGTTTTTCGGGAGGAAGAGGGTTGCCTATGCTAGATTGACACTAACCGGGACAACATGCACTCAATTACTCCCATCTGAACCCTTTACCTTTTTGTGTAGCGAGGCTGAACCGGGTCACCATCTGCTTTGCTTGTCAATCTTGTAATTTACCTAGCACACATTCTCTTTATATCTTAAGGCTAAATAGGCAAAATGGTCTCTGAGATTTGCTTAACTCATCACTTTGGTCCCTAACATTTCAAATCGATAAAAGTGGTCCTTGAGATTGTCCACCGTCCATCATTTTGGTCCTTCCGTTAAAAATTCCGTTAAGTGTCCCGGAGCTCTTGGCCGGAAGTTTGGGCAATTTTCAAAGCTTCATAACTCAATCGTTTCTTAACCAAATTTGACCCATAATATATCCAAATGAAGATTGGAGAGTGTAGAATAAGATTATACCTATTTGGAAGCCAATGACTGCCGGAGATGGCCGGAAAATAGCCTCAAAGTTGACTGGTCCGAGGGAAATCTGGAAAACTCGCCAGAAACTAGGTAAAATTTAAACGTTCATAACTTCTTCAATACTCAGCGAAATCAAGTGATTCAAAAATAAAAATCATACTTCTAGATGAGACGAATAGAATGGTACCTTCTTTTACCGCTAAATCACCATGTTTTGGCCATAAAAAGGTTCGAAAGTGGCTAACTCGAGACCAAGACAGCCACTTTCGAGCCATTTTCCAGCCAAACCACTACTATTTATCTGTAGCAAAAGGTACCATTCTCTTTTTCTCGTCGAGAAGTATGATTTTCATTTTTGAATCACTTGATTTCGTTGAGTATTGAAGAAGTTATGAACGTTTAAATTTTACCCAGTTTCCGGCGAGTTTTCCAATTTTCCCTCGGACCAGTCAACTTTGAGGCTATTTTCTGGCTATCACTGGCAGTCATTGGGCTTCCAAATAGGTATAATCTTATTCTACACTTTCCTATCTTCATTTTGATATATTATGGATCGAATTTGTTGCGAGTTATATATTAGTTAAAGTGTAAATAGTAATTGTCCCATATTGGTGAAGTACATGTAAAACCAATTGTAACTCCTATATATAATTCACTTTGGATATTAATGAATATATAAGAAATTCCCAAATATTGTCATATATATTTTTGGTATTTACCATGTTTAGTTTAATATGGCATCAGAGTAGTTCGCTCTTGGTAACCTGTGTGCTTTAATTTTGTGTTCACATATTTCGTGATTTCCTTCATTGAAAAAAAAAAAAAAGTGAATAGTGTCGCGCTACAGTACATCGTTTGCTACAGTGCATAAGCAGTGATCTGCTTTGTAACATATTGCTACAGTGCCATGAATAGTGCTTTGCTACAATGCCGTGAACTATGATTGCTACAGTGTTCTAGTAAATTGTTTTCATTCCGCTGCGTATCTTTTGTGCCTTTATTGTTAGTGATTTTGTTCAATGGCTCAATATAATCATAGTGTTTTTATGCAATTTGGTGGAACAAATAAATGGATAATTGATACTGGGCCACTGATCATGTGACTAGTGACCCTAGAGTGTTTGAAGAGTTATGTGATTATGTTCGTGATTTGTATATTACTAGGCAAATGGAGCACCTTCCCCTGTGAAGGGTGAAGGCACTATCTCTCTGACTCCAACCTTATCACTAGTCCGTGCTTTACTTGTTCTTGATGTTAAGTGCAATCTTTTATCGGTAGGAAAACTTCTTGATACATTATATTGTTCTGCTCACTTCTACCCTACGTATTGTTATTTTCAAGACATTCAAACTCAGAAGATAATTGGTCATGGTAAAAGAATAGGGGGTTTGTACATCTTGACTATGGACGATACTATTGTTTCCGGTTTAAATAATCATCAAGTTTTAAGTGCTAAAGTGGATGACAGACATCAATTTGGTTGTGGCATTGACGATTGGGACATCCATCATTTAGTTATATGAAGTATCTATTCCTTCTTTGTTTCGCACTTATAGTGATTCAGAGTTCAAGTGTGAAACATGTGTTATGGCTAAGAGTCATCATGCTTCCCTTCCCGTAAGTGATTCTAAAGCTACTTTGCCATTTGATTTGATACATTTTGATGTGTGGGGTCTGGCGAAAGTTACTTCTAATGGATTCTGTTGGTTTGTTACTTTTATTGATGATTGTACTCGGTTAACTTGGGTGTTCTTGATGAAGAATAAGAGTGATGTTCCGTTACTTCTTCAAGAATTTTGTACAATGGTGTCTACTCAATTTCAGACCAAGGTTAAGGTCTTCAGGTCTAATAACAGAGGAGAATATGTGAATCACACTTTAGCATGTTTTTTTTGTGATCAAGGTATTATTCACCACACAACTACTCTGTTTACACCCCAACAAAATGGTGTGTCCAAACGGAAGAATCGTCAAATAATGGAGGTTGCTCGCTTCTTGATGTTGGATAAATGTGTTCCTAATCATTTGTGGGGTCACGCTATTTTGGCTGCTGTGTATTTGATCAATCGTGTTCTAAGTAGAGTTCTTGATTTTCAGACACCGTTTGATATGCTACAAAAACATGTTTCACTTGTTTCTGTATCAAAGCTTGCTCCGAAAGTGTTTGGGTGTATTGTGTATGTGCATGTCTACTTTCATTAGCGGAGTAAACTTGATGCATGTGCTCTTCGATGTGTCTTTATTGGGTATGCTAACAATAAAAAAGGTTACAAGTGTTATCATCCTCCGACTAAAAAAACTTATATTACCATGGATGTCACATTCCACGAGGAAGTTTCATATTTTGTGAAGCCCTCTTTCGACTCTCCACTTCAGGGGGAGAGAGGGAGTGAAGTGCAGATTCGAAGAGATGGTATGGATGATGTGTTACAGGCAGAGTTGGAAACAGAACCTATTATGTTGTGTGATACTGATCAGTTGGCTACAGATAGTAATCGGTCACCTATCACTCCCGAAACTATTTCTACTGACGACAGATCAAATGTGCCCAGCGAGTTGCCTGTTAGTATGTCAGACGAATTACCTTCTAATGATTGGTTGCCTGTTGTTGAAATGTCTAACGAGTTGCCTGATGATGGTTCGTCCAGTAATGATTCTTCTAACAGTTTGGTACAAGATGGTGGCATACATGAGGTAAATTCTTACAGCAGTACTAGGACGTCAGTTCATAGTCCCATAGAGGTAAACAGTTTGGTGCAAAATCATCGTCTGGGCTTATTTCCAGATCAAGTTCCTACTCATAAGGAATGGTATCAGAGGCTTGTGGGGAGATTAATTTATTTGTCTCACACTCGCCCTGACATTGCTTATGCAGTTAATGTGGTAAGTCAGTTTATGCACTCACCTAGTGAAGCTCATATGGATGCAGTAACCCATATTTTGAGGTACTTGAAGATGGCTCCTGGCAGAGGCTTGGTTTTCTCCAAGAATGGTCATTTGAATGTCGAAGGATATACAGATGTAGATTGAGAAGGTTCTATCTTATCGGCGATCTACATCTGGATACTTTACGTTTGTGGGTGGTAATTTAGTTACTTGGAGAAGCAAGAAACAAAAAGTGGTGGCTAGGTCAAGTGCAGAAGTTGAATTTCGTGGTATGTCTCATGGTGTATGTGAGTTGTTGTGGTTGAAAAAATTGTTGAGAAATCTTGGGTTTAAACCCAAGGGTGCTATGAAACTTCATTGTGATAATAAGGCTGCTATTGAAATTGTTCATAATCCAGTGCAACATGATCGAACAAAACATTTGGAGATTGATCGACATTTCATCAAGGAAAAATTGGATGCTATAATTATTATGTTTCCGTTTGTGAGATCTGAAGATCAACTTGTTGATGTTCTTACTAAGGCTGTGTCTAATAGTGGGTTTTCCAACTCGCTTGACAAGTTGGGCATGCATGACATTTTTGCCCTAACTTGAGGGGGAGTGTTGCAAGTTATATATTAGTTAAAGTGTAAATAGTAGTTTATTGTCCCACATTGGTGAAGTACATATATAATACCAATTGTAACTCCTATATATACTCCACTTTGGAGATTAATGAATATATAAGAAATTCCCAAATATTGTCATATATATTTTTGGTATTTACCATGCTTAGTTTAATAGAATTTGGTTAAGAAACAATTGAGTTACAAAGCTTTGAAAATTGTCCAAACTTCCGGCCAAGAGCTCCGGGACACGGAGTTTTTAAAGGAAGGACCAAAGTGACCACTTTTATCGATTTGAAATGTTAAGGACCAAAGTGATGAGTTATGCAAATCTCAGGGACCATTTTAGCTATTTAGCCATA